TTTAAAAAAAAAAAAAAAAAAAATCACGGAGCCATGCATGCATGCATGCATGCATATTATTATTATTATTTGATGTAAATGTGCACATAACTATGTGGTAGTCGTTAATCTGCATCGTTTTCTTATACGTAGAAACGAAAAACATTAAATAAACTGGGCGAGGCCCCAAAGTGGTGAGAGCCACAAACAGTCGTTTGGAATGGCGATTCGCTGTCAGTCCCTTGCTTTCGTAATGGGCGCGTCGCTTTTGTTTATAAATAAATTAACAGAAAGGAATACGTGGCCGATGAACTTCAATTGCAGAAAAATAGGAAGTATTTTTTATTTTTTCAAAGATAAAATAATTTTCAATATGAGAAACATGCATAACGTGAACTTCCCACCGACGATGGATATAATTAAAAATATATTATAAAATTTAATAACAGATATAAAATGCTCCCATAAGATTTGTATTTTTTGTGTGTGTGTGTAAATCGACTATAAGATTTAATTTTTTTTGCCCCCAATAACAACATTTTATGGGTTCATCACTCTCTCTCTCTCTCTATATCTATATCTATATATATAAAAGTACAGTCATTTTACCTGGGAATGACACGTGTCCTATGAAAGAGAATATGAAAGATTTTTTAAATATTTTTTCTATTTCATTAATATGACAGTATAGTTTCGGGAATACCATCTACTTAAAAATCGACGCCATCATGACTTTATTAATGAAGAGTTAATTTGGTTTTTGAATTCATTGAACAATAACCACAACTATTAATTAATTTTAAACTATAAATGATCCTTAACGAAACGCAGAGAAGAGAACAAACCGATCGGACGTATTCGATCTTAATCCGGCTCCCGTTCAAGTTGGTCCCCTGAAGCGCCTCCTTCGCAGCTATCGCCTCCTCTATGCGTTTGAAGTAGATGAAAGCGAAACAATGAGACGAATACGCTGTGATTCTGTCGACGTCGCCTAACCTCCCGAACAAATCGTCCAGATTGTTCGATTTGAACGACGAATCATCCTGTTCACGCGATCTGATTGGCTTCAACACTAGAGTCATCGTCGAGTTTCTGTATTCCACAACTGCTTTGGAGAAAGAGAGAAGGAAAAAGGTACGGGAGAAACAAAACTCTAAAAATATAAAAATAAATTTAATTTTAAGTGATTTGACAGGAAATGGGAAGAAATTTGGTGGGAGGAGAGTGCAAAGATATGAGGGTGAAAGGAAGTGAGCATAAGGATTTTCTTATGTACATCGCATTCTAAATATTTTCTCTGTGTTATGACTTTGTGGAATTTTTTTTTAAATATAGTTCCACATAAAAAAAAACTCAAAATATTGAAAGAATTATCCAAAAAGAAGTATTTTTAAGCAACATCTAATTCGATATAGTTATAAATTCTGGTTTTTTTGACATATAAAAGAGGATTAAAAAATGATTTGTTTATACTGTTAGGTGCAAGCTATGAGTTGGATCAATGCATGTTCAACACGTGTTGAAGAAAAGTCAGAAGACAGTTTCGGATAAAATTAGGAAATTTACTGTTGTCAGTATTTTTAGAAGCATATTTTTTTGTTGGTTAAAGGTGCTTTAAATTTTTTTTAGAAGCAGTTATTTGTACCTTACAATTATATTTTCAGAACATATATATGTAATATTTCGATAGATGGAGAAATATGATAAACATTAATAAAATCTTTTTCTTCTCAAAATTTATGTTTGATTCTCAGACAGTGAAGTGGGTTCAAATATTAACAAAATCCTTTCCATGTTTGTATTAGTGTCTTGATGAACAAAAAAAATATGAATCACCACCAAGAATAGAAAGGTTAATATATAATAATAATAATAAAACTCTAATATTTGAAAATGACAGAGAAATACACGTACATACGAAAAGTTTATTTTATTTATGTAAATAATGCATAATTATGAAATATAACAAAAATAAGAGAAAAAAAATGGTCACTCTTATAAATGGACATCCATGAATATTTTAATTTTATTATAAAAATAGAAAAAACATGAATTTTTAAATCTATGTATTTTGTGTTTTGTTTTTTCTTCCTAATACTAATGTAAAAAAATAGGAAACAAATAGTAAAATAACGTATTACAATTAAACTGTAAAATTGTTGTCTTTCACATCTAACATATAACTCAATTTTGTGTGTATTCAAATTTAGTTACGTCCGGTCAAAATATATCTAAGAACTACACACATAATAAAGTTTTTTTTTTTGGTAAAAATAATAAAGTTATGATATAATGATTATGGATGCCAACTTTAATATTATAAAGATGAAAAATAACTAAAATCTTATAATTATTGATGATAATAATTATAAAATATAGTTTTAGTTAGTTATTAAATTTAATATTTATATATATAATTGAAAATTAGTATTTAAAAATTAGTTTTTATTAAAAATTAGCTCCACCAATTTGTAGGTTCTTCAGTTCCACATGCATTTACTTTTTACCATTATGTTTACAGTTTGTATTACACAAACTTTGAAAATAATAAAGCAATGCTTAAATTAAGAACATATACATACATACATACATACATACATACATACATACATACATACATACATACATACATACATACATACATACATACATACATACATATATACATAAAAATTTATAAATATATATAAATGAGGATATATAAATTGGTTCGATTTTAAAAATTCATAACCAAATGGTTATTAATTTTTAATCATCTCGATTCGGTTCGGTTATTTCGAATTTTGAAAAACCATAACCATTCAGTTATTTGACTTTGTTATGTTAATAATTGAAATGTTCTTATTAGATTCGGTTCAATTAATAACCAAAATCATCGAATCAATATCCATCCCCAAGTGATGTTTTATTTAAAACTCCAACTCCTATCATAAATGGTTGACAAGACGATACTATATCTTTCACATATAAGGAACTTATTCAATTCATTTATCGCATAATCGAAAATCTTATACAATATGTAGTGGAGGATCGAAAGCACCAAAAATTGGGATGATAAGAATAATAAAAAAAATAAATTAATGAAATATAGATCACTGTAAATGAAAGATTTATCTAAACGAAACTTCCAATCTGATTAATTTAAATTTAAATTTAATAGATTTTATACAGATTATTGAATCAATATTATTGTAATAAAATATATATAACACACAAATATGACATAGTTTTAGTTTTTATTTATCACGAATAAAAGTGACCAAATCTTAATTAGTAAAAAGAATATAATAATTCAGAACATAACAGGATAAATGAAAGAGTGACATGATTAATGATGTATCATTTTAATTTAATTTAATTAAATAGATATCTATAAAATTTAAATAGTAAAGATATTATATAGGTTTAACATTGTACCGATATTTTAGTTTAAAATATTTATTAATATAAATATATAATACCAATCAAATTTTTATTATTATTTAAAATTATATTTGTAATATTTTTAGTAATTACATCCTTCGCATACTTCTAGATTTACTAAAAGTGAAATTCTTTGATCGAGCGAATAAAATTTATAAACTATTATTTCAATTCCTATTTCGCAATTCATCTTTTAAAAAATTACGTTTAATAATATGAATTATAAAATATAAAAAATATATTATATTAAACTTTTAAACTATTAATAATATTTTTAGTCCGTGAGATATCGCGTTTTTTGAAAAATATTATTAGACACGTGTCAACCATATAGTACGGTTTTTTTCCTGCTTTTAATTATTTTTATATTTGAATCAATTTAATTAATTTGATTTAATAAAAAACATATGTAATGAAATGAATTTGTAAGGTGTTGTTTAATTCCAATTATATATTTTTTGAAAAATAATAATTAAATTTTAAACTATTAATAATATGAATTATAAAATTCAAAAATAAAATAAAATATATTTAAATTTAAAACTAATAATATTTTTTAAAAAATTATACGTAATTGTAGTCCGCGCGATGCGCGCGGGTTAAAAACCTAGTATATATAATCACTCATTTCTGGAATCTGGAAAACAATATTACATGGCCTACAAAGCCCTTTGCTTCGGGTACAACATTAACAATAAATGCCTAGAAAACAGAAATAATGGATATATAATCGTTACAACATTATGAGATAGGGTTTACACACACACACACACACAAAACATAATCAGGGAGGCATTTAGGTAAAATTTGGGTAATGATAATCGAATATTTTTTGTCATAAACATAAAGCTTTTGGTCGCGATATTAACCCCATTAAGGAGTCACTGGCACAACCACTGGATGACCTTTCTTACATTCTTCTTCTTCTTCGCCTTCATCGAATTGACACGGTAACTTCGCTGCACACTCATTCATTTGCCTGATTTTACCCCACAAGAATACATAAAGGCCGACTATTACGACCACAGATCCCAAAACACTACAAAACAAAAGAGAGAAATTAGATATATATATATATATAACTGTATACGTGATTGAATTTTTTGAGTGTGTTTCACGTACTTTCCGATATAAATATCGCGGTGAAGGATTGAGAAATCGAATAGAGAGGCGAATATAAGCATCACGGGAGTAAAAATAGAGGTAAAGATAGGTCCTCGCTGTTTGATGCACCAAGATATTCCCACAGTACAGATTCCTTGTCCGACCACTCCCTGCAAAAATCGTACGTAACATGCATGAAGACATATTCTCCATTGAGATCGATCGATAAAAAGCTTGAAGATTCCTAAATGAATGATTCCCTTTCCCCATTTTAGGGAAGAATCTTTGTAACTGTATTTACCGCATAAACAACTGTCATGACATCTAATTTGTCTCTGAGGATCCAAGCTGTAATATCCCGAGATTTGATGAGACTGAGAAGAGCACATTGGATGGTGCCGAAGAAGGATAATATGACTGTGCTTGAATACTGGCAGGGATATTTCCTGTTGATATTGGCTTGCACAAGCATCCAAGAACCGAAAAAACTGCTCCCCGCGAACAGAAGTACGCATCCGATGATCCACTTCTCGGGTTTCGTCTCGTGTTTACGGCTGTTCACTGGTGATGAAGCAGCTGCTTGTTTGTGGTGAAGGGTTGTCAAGGGAACTCCCTTGTACATCGTGAGAAACAAAGCTCCTCCTATACATACCAAAGTCCCCACCATCATAGCCATCCCTGCTTTGCTTTTCATGTTTAGCTTTTCAATCCTACAAAAAAGACCCCTCATATATTCAAAATTCAATTTATTGTGCAAGGAAAAGGAAGAACCTATAATGAGGTTGATATTTGCATTAGTGCTTGAAAACTTTAATTACCAACTAAAGTTTGTGGGACAGTTTTGGTTTTGCAACTCTCATGCGTGGCACATGAAAATAAATTGCTTACAAGGGTTTTTTTTTTTTGGAAATATGCTTTTCATGCATATGTTGCTATTTCCGAAGCTTTGGAAAAGACAATCATGGTTTATGTGAAAAACAAACCCCCTTTCTTTTTTTTAAATGGAGTTATTAATAAATCCATACGCACGTGTAGCTATTTGATAATTACCTGAATATCAGAGCCATGATGAAGGTAACTGCGGGAACCATGCTCATAAAAGCACATGCTAACGTAGCTGAAGTGTACGAGAGGCCGAGCAGGAAGAAATACTGCGTCAAACTTGCCCTAATTTGTCATAACCATTTTATCTCTTAACGAGACTCGTTTTGATGGATAAATAAACAAAATGGGGACGAGAATGCAAAAATAAAAAATTATGGGGCCAAATCTAAACGAACCCAAGAAGAGCACTGAAGAAAAGCTGGCACAGGATGCTGAACGTAAGCTTCGGCCGTGTTTTCCTGCGCACGTACATGCAGAATCATGTTTCCACAATTGGAATCAGGCATTTTTAAAGTGTATATATATATGCATTCAATTGTATAAAATGAGATGATAATCGAAATATGTTAAATGCTTACTAACCGTTCCCAAAAATAGGCGATTGGAATCAAGAACGCTGTAGAAATAGCGAGACGGTACGTAGCGATAACCATATGGTTAAGACCACCGTCGAGGAGTTTCTTAACCATGGCGTTAACCGAACCGGTTGCCGCGTTTATCACAATCATCATGATGATCGGCGTCCATTTTCCATCGCAATAACTCATGATTAGTTATTAATTAAACAACTTTTAATTAATAATTAATCTCTCTCTCTCTCTCTAAGTGCTTGCGTGTCTTTGTGAGGAAGCACACGAATTCATTGGGCATGGTCACCATATATAGATATAGAGAGAGAGAGAGGGGGGGGGGGAATTAATTAATTGTTCTTTTATTCACATATTATATTATTTATATAGTTATATTTTAAATTTATATTGGTTTTATGCGGTCGTCGTTCGGTGGCAAAATGTGTTAAGAAACGGTGGATTTTAATTATTCCCGTGATGATCCACGTGTTTCTTCGAGCCAAACATACGTAGAAAAGAATCTAATATCACCTTTCACGAGAATCTCTTTATTTCCGATTCTCTGTGTGACGCTTTGCTATGTCATTTTATTTGATAGACCAATTTCAACAACGACGTGCAATTCCTTAATTACACTTTTTGGTAATTATTTTTAATGTTAATATCTCATGAGAACTTTAGTCACTGATACGATATTCCGAAACAAATCATATTTGGTTAAATTAACGAACTGAGATAATCCGGTAATATATTATCAACGTAAATATAGGATTAAAATGTGTATTAGATATTAATTATCGTTGTATTTTATTTTATAGTCGTAGTCTAGTTGTATATGATTTCGAAAGGAATTTCAACGAATTTAGGTGTTAGGTCCAAATATGTACGTTAGGGTTAGGGATAACAAAAAGAAATAGATGTCTCACTAATCTATATATATAACGCATGGCTTAGGTTGAGGAGCCAGTCTTTTTAGCTGCACCCGACGGACGTATTTGCAGGGGAACATACCTTATAATTTTAAGGTTATCAATAACTGTATTCGGTCTACATTTATAGCAACACAAATTACCAAAAACAGTTGAATAATAAAAAAATCATAACATGTATATATATATATATATATATATACATATATATTGGGAAAACATACTTAATGGTCGATTATTGGATTCGGAGAGTAAAGTCAAAAGAAATGGGGAGAAAGGGAGATTATTTAAACATGGAAAAAGAAAGTAAAAAGGCTAAAACAGGGCTGGTTTATATAATTCCAGTTTTGATATATTTACCCGCAAATGTCTCTTTATATTTATATACCTCTTTTCTTTATTCTTATAAATCGTTTTTTATGCTTCTAGGTTTTGCAGGATTTCGTGGAATAAAATGGAGGAAAATATTTTTTTTGCTTGGTCATTAATTTTTATTTATTTATTGGAAGATATAATCTCGCAAGTAAAAAACCGGGGGTGCAGATCTCCCAAAAAAAAATAACAATCTAAGAAAAAAGTATCATTCTTCATTCCCATTCAAAATGTTCCACGAATATTAGATATAATATTTATTTTCGACGAAGTGGACACCGTTGATGGTATCAAGTTATATTTCCATAGAAAGTATAATTTTCTCTAACCCCAAATTTGTCCTATAAGGTGTGTGTAATCACGGTCCTAACAAAAAGATTTAAATTGCCTATTTTTTCACATAATTTTTAAAATGTTAAATATTTTGAAATTGAATTAATTTGTGTGTTTTGTAATCGTATCAAAGATCATAATGGGCCCAAGGTAGATCCAGTATTTTTAACGAGCCATAGATGTGTCCTCAGTCCACCATTTATATGATTCAATAAATTTATAAACAAATAATTTATTGTTAATTCGTCCAATATCGTAGAGGAAAAGAAAATTCCTAAAAAAATTACTGCTTTTGTAATATACTTTTTTTATCATGTTAATTCCTGATTAAGATAAATGTTGTAAATAATTTGGTATTTTCTAGAAAGTGAAAAAACTGAAGATGAAAATGCGACAAGAGTAGAAACTATTTATAAAAAAAAATAATAATAAGAAACTATTTTCAGTATTTAATCAGGTGCCCGCTTACATCCTTTGTCGGTACAAAAAATACCAAAGCATCTTTTTCGGCCAACCGAATAAATAAAATAACTACTGGGCTGGGCCTTATGTTATTTTAAAATTTTAATTATTGGGCCCATTGGGCTTCATAAATTCCTCTGTGATCTCGTAAGATTTCATCTTGATTTCGGAACCACACCGGTTTGGGGGTTTAACCCTAATAACCCACTTGTGTCGCAGCAATTTCAGGGTACACCACCGAAAAAAAAAAAAAAATTGCGATCTTATTACGACTAATATATAACTAATATACAACTAAAATAAGAGTAGTTTATTAGTCGTAATAAGTTGTATATTAGTTATATATTAGTCATAATAAGGTCGCAAATTATTTTTTTTTTTTTCGGTGGTGTACACTGAAATTGCTGCGACCCAAGTGGGTTATTTGAGTAATATTCCCCATCTGTTTTGTCAGGCAATGGTTGTCACTTGTCACTTTGTCACTGACGCCAAACGTACCTCCGACTGAGTCGGCAACTCGGTGGACTCGCTCGAGACCTCTTTTAGATCTCTGTTTTTGCCCCACAAGAATACGTAGAGACCAATCACAATAATCACCGATCCCATTACACTGTTCCATGTGATCAACAAAGATTTGATATTGTTAGATTCAATCCCAAATAATTATTGGTGGTAATAAAAGGATGGAAAATGGAACCTGGAAATAAATAATTGTCGGTGGAAAATGAGGAAATCGAAAAGAGTGGCAGAAACAAGCAAGACGGGGAAGAAGGAAGAAGTGAAAATCGGGCCTCTCTTCTTGATCGACCATGTCATCGCCACTGTCGCTATTCCTTGTCCCACCACTCCCTTCTCCGTCCACAACCACAAAGTTCATGCACGTCGAAACTACCCTTTGTTAAACGAATTATAGTATATATGTGTGTGTGTGTGTGTATACACGGGTATATACTTACAGTGAAGACGATGACAGATATGTCGAACTTGTCCCTCAAAATCCAGGTTCGGGCATCTCTAGATTTGATCAAACTCAAGAGGGCACACTGGGAAGTGCCAAAAAGGGACGAAAGAGCCGTACTCGTGTATTTGCATGGGAACGTCACGTTGATCTTTGTCTGATACAGCATCCAAAGAGATAACAACAAGTCTACCGTCAAATTGAACAGACATCCCAACAGCCAGTTCTCGGTCTTGTTCTTCCTCGGATCATGATTGCTGTCAAGAGCTTCTGGTTGATGCCGAGGGTTCGATATGGCAAACCCTTTGTAAAATGTCAACACAAGGGCTCCACTTATGCATATAAGAGTCCCCACAACTTTGGCCATTCCCGCTTTACTCTTGAGATTCAGACTTTCTGTCCTGCATGTATAATCAATGGAAATAAGTGTTGTTGGTCGCTGGTTCGAACGCTATATATTGAACACAGTTTGGTAAATTAAAAGTTGGATCAAGAGGCATATTGAATCCAAATATAATGAAACAGACGATATCGGGTTATGAACCGGAAAATCAAAGCCAGGGCGAATGTAGTTGCGGGCAAAAGACTGAAGAAGGCACATGCTACAGTTGCTGAAGTGTACGCAAGTCCCAGTAATGAGAAATATTGTACCAACCCTACACTGCAGATTAATAAAACCCAAAAGAAAAAAAATAATATAAAAGGGGTTTACTAATTTAAGATTAACCATATGAAGTGAATGGCGCCAAACCCAATCATAGCACTGAAGAAATGTTGGCACAAGATGGTAAATGTCAGCTTTGGTCTCGCTTTCCTATGAAAACATGGAAAAAAACATTACCATATACAATATTTGAGGAGTCTCAAGAAAGACACAAGGGGCATTTTTAGCTTTTGAGATACGAATATGGTTCACACACATGTATGTGCATCTTTTGTAACGTTTCTATGGCCCATAAATTTTATATATATATATATATATATATATATATATGTGTGTGTATAGAGATCGTACGTGTTGGAGATGGAAAAACATAAATAAATAAATATAAAAATAAAGCGGAGGGTACCATTCAAGGAAAAGGGAAAGAGGGGCCAAGAAGAGAGCAGAGGAAGCGAGTCTATAAGTAGCGATGACCATGTGGTTAATACCATGGTCGAGCACCTTCTTTATCAGCACGTTCACCAGACCCGTCGCCACGTTCCTCGTCACCATTACAACCACCGCTCCATACTTTTCGCACACCACTCTCTCACCCATCTCTCTCTCTCTCTCTGGTTCATATACACTTGATGCATGAGGACACATATATAGAAAGAAAAAGAAATTAGAAGTGGGGTTTGAGGCCTTACGCTTGTGAGCGTGACGCTTCTGCATGTAGAAATTCCCCCACCTGGATCCCTATGCAGCAACTCACAAACACTTAGATTCGCCACGTTTTTTCTATCATTATAATTTTTATTTTTTATTTATAGTGAAGTATTAATTTTGATGGACCACGAGAAAAGATCGCGATTCTCCGTTTCGAAATGGGTTCCTTTTTCTTCTCCTTCTTCTCTGGATTCCGTCCGAATTTGAGCCTTCTCGGTTTTCATTTTCGTACGTGAAACAAAAGTTTCTATATATATATATATATATCGATTATGGTTCTGCTTCCAAATTCCGATTTATTTATTCATTTATTTTGGGGTGCGGAACAGATTGTAATAATAACATAACATTCGCAGCTTATAATAATAAATAAGTTTGACTCTTGTAATTGAATTTTGGTCACGACTTGGTCAAATAGTCAAATATTTTAACGAGTCAAATTTTATATTATACGTTTATGTCGTCTGTATATTGATATTCTTGTTACAAGAAAATTGTTGGTCTTCGAGCGCGTGGAAGAAGTAGAAATATATTATCTCCTTTTCTTTCTTTTCAGAAAACTATATAGTTATATAACAGCTGATAAATTTTGCGTGTTATGTCTAATAACCCTTTTGCGTCACAATTTTTTTTATATCAAGAACTATATATATGCCGATCGAGAAAACACATAAATAGATTCGGCTGGAGATAATGTCCGGATATATATATATGCATGTGTACAAGTATAAATGCTTTCTTTCTTTTGTAATGAACTTACGTATATAAATGCTTACTATATGTGTCGCCATTTTCAGGCATCGACGATGTGTCCCCTAGAGAAAATATGTATTTATTCCAAACACGGAATATTATGTCTAAATCAGTTTGGGTAATGGCTCCAAGCTCAAGTGGAAGTAACGTAGTGGAAGCTGCATAAGACACCATTATCTCTCTCTCTCTCTTAAATTCAAGTTTTAATTAATTTGTGCGGATGAAAATATTAACCCCCTCCACGATCCAATATTCTTATGGCACAAAACACATAAAAATTCGAAATAAAAAAAAAGAAAAAAAGAAATCGAATTTTTTATATAGTAGGAGATGATGAAAATTTTATAATTTTTTTTCATATCAAGAAATCTATGAAAACAAATTACGGTAAATATATTCTCTACAATTTGTTATTATCATTGAATTTTCATGTTATACAATTGATCCTACAAAGGTGGGAACCATGATGGATTGAGATGAATCGATTTAACGCCACCATATATGTAAGTTTATTGTAAGATGTGGACGACTATCGATATAGATAAAAGAAGAAAAACTAGTGAGTGGAGGTAGTTTGGTCGTTGTGCATGATAAGTGATAGCGTTATTCAATAAATAATTGGACTGATCCGTGGTTTATCGGCTCCGGGGGCTCTAGCTTCCCTGTTGGCTCACTTGGGACATCTTTCGGGTCTTGGAATTGGCCCCATAGATATACATAGAGACCGACGACAACAATACCAGATCCGATTATGCTGTTGCATGGTTCGAAAACACGATCAACGAAGTGTTTGAATTAGTGAAAATCGTTTTTTATTTGTTGATTAAATCGCGAAAACTAACCTCGAAAGATACATTTGTCGGCGAAGGATGACGACATCGAATAGAGATGCTGACATCAGCATGACAGGAGTAAACAATGAAGTGAAAAGGGGACCCCTCTTCTTTATGCACCATGTCGTTGCAACTGTGGCTATGCCTTGTCCAACTACGCCCTGTTTGACCCATCAATTAGACAGAAAAAAACACACACACTGAAACTTAGATATACCATGTGTAAAATTATTCATCTTTTTATGAATGTAGTTATACATATATATATATAATATACAAATATACGGGCAAGGTTTTCTTACAGCATAGATGACAGCGAATATGTCGAATTTATCCCTCAAAATCCAACCTTTGATATCCCTAGTCTCGATCAAACTCAGAAGAGCGCATTGGAAAGTGGCGAAAATGGACATAAGAACCGTGCTAGAGTACTTGCATGGGAATGTTACGGTGATCTTCGTCTGAAAAAGCATCCACAGAGACAAAACTATGTCTGCTACGATATTAAATAGACAACCCAACAGCCACTTATTATGGGCCTTGTTCTTCATCGGATGAGAGTCGGTGCCATTAACCTCCGATTCAGAGCGAAGGTTTGATATCGGCAACCCTTTATAAAATGTCAATAAAAGTGCTCCACTTATGCATACATGAGTTCCCACTACTTTGGCTATTCCCGCTTTGCTCTTGAGATCCAGGGTCTCTATCCTGTATATATACGTCTAGTGAGATCAATAAGGTTATATAATAAAGACTCGTCTGTATATATACACACACGAATGTATGTGTGTGTATATAAAGGATATGTTATTGTAGAGGAGATTAGATTTTATTAACCGGGATAGTAGAGCCAGAATGAACGTAAAGGCCGGCAAGATGCTGAAAAGGGCACACGTTACGGTTGCAGAAGTGTACGTTAGCCCCAGCAAGCCGAAATATTGTACCAAGGTCGCACTGCTCGCCAAAATAATTTTTTTGTAAAAGACCAAAAAGAGTGATTGTTAATTGAGAATTTCATTAATTTTACAGCCGTTTTTTTAATTACAAAGTTGAAATCATAACATTTCGCAAGTGAAGAAGTTGGGGGACATACCCGAGTAAGCCGCTCAAGAAATGTTGGCACAAGACCGTAAGCGTCAGCTTTGGTCTACTTTTCCTGGTAATTAAACCGAATAGCAAAACAAAAACCCGTCACCAAATTTTTTAAAAAAATGTCCACTTTAATTAATATTTTTGAGATTATATATATAATATAATATAATATCGTGACCCTCCGTATGATTTTCCGACCACTTTCTTCGTAGTAATAAAAATGTTCCTGTAGGGCGCCGTCAGCATGAATATTACGTATAAACCGGTTTTTGTTTTGTCACGCTTCGAATCAAATAAGGTTTTGTCATGTCCTACAGATTCCCCATATAGTAAAAATAACGTACGTTTATGGTAATTTATTTATTAATTGAGATGGACTCTTATGATAATAATAATTAAAAAAAAGTGTGTGCGTAGTTGTTATGAAAATACTGACATATTAATTAAAAAAAATTACAAATAATGTTATGCTAGTTAATGAAGGAAGTTAATAGATTGATTAAGATCACCTTTCGAAGAGGAGGGCGAAGGGAGATAAGAAAAGAGCAGAGACGGCGAGTCTGTAGGTGGCAATAACCATGTGGTTGATGCCGCCGTCGAGGGCTTTCCTCATCACGACATTACCCAGACCCATCCCCATATTCGACAATACTATCACCAACACCACCCCATGTTCATCGCACTTCACTCTCTCTCCCATCTCTCTCTCTCTCTCTCTCTCTATATATATATATATATGTATCTGTGTGTGTATGCTTCAGTTGATGATGTGGGGGGTGATGTGCAAACCCATGGCCATCATTTATAGAGGAAAGACAATGACGCTGTATAGCCTTCACACATTTGGGTAGGGATGTTTTCTTTTTTAAAAACGTGTACTGAACAAGTGTTTTTAAGCCATCAAACGATAGAAAGTAATGTATATTTCGATATCGATCATAATATATAAAGAAATATTAGAAATTATACACTATTGATTCACAGATTTAGAATTGGACGGCGGTCTTAAGTTTTTTACGGAACTTTATAAGCACCATTTGCCATAATGTTTTTAATTGGTTTTATTTTATAATATATTATTTTTGAAAATTTTTAATAAACGTTTTTTTAGAACCAACCTCTCCGGTTTATCTTTATGGGAGAGTGTCGGATTGTTCCACATATTTTTTTAGTGGCCAAACAGAAACATGAAAATATATGTGGACGATATAAATAGGAGAAAAAAACTTGAAAATTGAATATAATTACACGCATGATTTTCTACTGAATCGGTAATAACGGCATGCATATTCTGGTGCAACACATCATTGTCTTTTTCCCTTAAACTGTCAGCAGATGTAACACATTATTCTTTGTCATCTTTTATTCTGGTCTCTATGTCCACTATTAATTATTCTTTGCCTTTTGTGTTTTAGATGAGCGATTGGTAAGGAAACAAAACATTCGGATCACGCAACACGACAAAACTACAAAACCATTCGGATCACGCAACTCGTGAACCAACTTGCGAGACCGTCTATATTTCTCCGATCTAGACTGAGAAATTTTGAGCTTGAAAAAAAAAATGAACCGAACGAGTTAGTTTGCCACGAACTCGACTAGCCAGCTCGACGAACCTATGAATTAGCTAGCGACATAGAAATAAATATTTTTATTTTATAATATTTTTTTAAATAATCTATCAATTTTAAATATTTTATTATTTTAAAATATATTAATTATTATTTTTTAATTATTTTTTTATAATATTTATTTTATTATATTTAATTAATGACTTGGGTTGAGAATAAACTGGTTGGAATCGAGTTGATTCGATTTGTTCTGAGCCGGATCGTTTCAGCTCCTTAGACTGACGTGTATCCATTACACACCTCAGAGTCAGAAGTCAGAATAAAAGCACTTGTGTTTTACTCACATTAAAAACGAGAAGAAAAAAAAAGGAAAGAAAGCGAAGACTGAATACAGTGGGCTGACGTGTACCACCATCCCGCTGAAACGCCACGTCAACCATTACAAACATGACGGGTCCGCCACGTGGGCTCTTAAACCATAAAATAATATATTGTTCACTTTTTACTTTTAAATTACGTGTATATCATAAATTAATATATACACACACACCGAGCAAGAAGATTGACATAAAATAAATCATATATTCCTCGGATCTATTCGTTTTTCTTTTGGTAAATATTTTCAGTTATAAATTACATATCAGAGAATGTAAAAATTCGATTGCCACAACTACCGTGACTTTTCTTTATGATACGGTCCGGGTACAACCGAAAAAATGGTGGTCTATATATTATTTAATTTTATGTCGCAAATACTATACGTATATCCTTTTCCAACAATATCGGTGTAACTGTAGCATATATTTTATTCCATTTATGTACCATGTGTCGATTTTTTTAATGGACCGTCGTATCGAATTCTTGGAGACTGAATAAACTCTTTTAGGTGTCAACATATATTTTTCCATTGTGGGGAACAAAAAGCATTCCAGCGCTTGAAGATACGCAAATCTCATACTCTCTCGTTCCCGCATCTCGTTTTTCTCTATAAACAAAACTTTTTTATATATGATTTTTGAGGTTTTGTTAGAAACTTTTTTAGTAGGCTTCGACCGAGCTTGTATGCAATCAAACTATATAATAACTTTGTTCGTTAGCACTATTAGAAAACAAACGGTTCCTAATGGTACATGAGCGACAAATGTTATTCAATATTTAAATAATTGGACTGACGAAATATAATCATCAGAGGCGCATGCAATTGGGTATAGTCTTATCCCTCATAGCTGTCCCAGAGTCTCTTCTCGTGTTGGTACGTCTCCCACGTCTTTATATTTGCCCCACAGATATACGTAGAGTCCAGCCACGATAACGATTGAACCAATTATACTGCGTTCATCAGTGAAATTAATATCTCTTATTATAGATACCATAACATATATAAACATCCGTATGATCGGAATTCGTATCTTTCTGGTATCGAAAACGAACCTCGAAAGATATAATTGTCGGCGAAAGACGAGGAAATCGAATAGAGTTGCTGACATTAACATCACAGGATAAAACAACGAAGTGAAAACTGGCCCTTTCTTCTTTATGCACCAAGTCATTGCAACCGTGGACGCTGCTTGCCCTACCACACCCTAGTCGGTCCACCAAACAAAATATATGCAACAGTGATATTGTTTTTATTACGTATATATGTACTATAATATATAACTGGATCGTGTTTTTTACTTACAGAGTAGACGACAACGAAAATGAGGAATTGGCCTCTCAAAACCCATCCTTGAATATCTCTAACTTTGATCAAACTCAAGAGAGCACATTGGAAGCTGGCGAAACCGGACATAAGAACAGTGCTAGAGTGCTTGCATGGAAACGCTACATTGATCTTGGCTTGAAAAATTATCCACGAAGATAACAATATGGATGCTATGAAATTAAAAAGACAGCCCAACAACCAGTTTCGGGTCTTGTTCTTCTTCGGATGAGGGTTAGCGTGAAGAGCCTCCGTTCCAGAGTGAGGATTTGATATGGGCACCCCTTTGTAGAATGTCAATAAAAGGGCTCCGCCTACGCATACAAGAGTCCCCAACACCTTGGCCTTTCCTGCTTTGTTCTTGAGATTCAAACTCTCTGTCCTGTTTATACAGAAACCATGCCGGATGAGACTTTAATACTTCCAATTACAATTACTCCAAAATCATATAAACATAACAAAAAAACGATTATATATGTATGTATGTATGTATGTATGGGATGAGAGGGGTTAGATATCGATATACCGGAATAGTAAAGCCAAAGCAAAAGTGATCGCGGGAATCATGCTGAAAAAGGCACATGTGACGGTCGCTGAAGTGTACCCAAGTCCGAGTAAACAGAAATATTGCACCAAGCTTGCCCTGCTTACTCAGAATATTTACAAAAGACCAAAACTCTAGTGTGTTGCTTGAGTTGATAATTACAAAAGGACAATGAAAATTGGTTTACCATCGTTATATATGTAATTTTGCACGTGATTTAAGTCGGAGACATACCCGAGTAATCCACTGATGAAATGTTGGCACAAGATCGTAAGCGTTAGCTTTGGTCTGTCTCTCCTATTAAAACACAATAGTCGAAAAGGCAAAATCCCATCAATGAATTAATCCGTGCACGATAAATGAGGTCGAGATTAAGATTTATATTTTCGACATAAAATAATATATACATGCACACGCATGCATGTATAGGTTCGGTTTGCATGCATGGTCGAACGTACCTTTCCAACAAGAGAGCAAAAGGAGACATGAAAAGAGCGGAGATGGCGAGTCTATAAGTAGCAATAACCATATGGTTGATTCCACCGTCGAGAGCCTTCCTTATCAAAACATTCGTAAGTCCCATCCCTATATTCGTCAACACCATTACTATCACTGCTCCATACTCCTCGCACTTCACAACACCACCCAATCCCATCTCCCTCTCTCTCTCTCTCTCTCTCTCTCTATATATATATATATATATATATATGTGCGTGTGTGTGTGTACGTGTGTTGCGTTTCATAGTGAGTTAGGGAAATGTAATAGCGGCTCATTTATATAGGAAAGTTGGCGGCATACATACTTTATCACATTTTGGCACTGATCTTTGATATCTTACAATATCTAGTATAATTAATAATTATATACCCTGTTTGCCTTTTTCTCCATTCAATTTGTTTGTTTCATTAAATTATTAAAAAAGAGGTTAGTCCACTGCGTAAATGCTTTTAAATTTAAAATATTTACACAAAAATCATATAAAAACATTTAATATACTGGAAAATATACTAAAAAACTAATATACAAATCAATGCACAAACATCATATAAAAACATTTAATATACATGATACATATTTAAATGTTACTATTACAGTTGAGCTAAAATTTTGTTTTTCATATTTAGTTGTTGACGAGAGTTTGTCCCAAAGAAAGATTACGTGCTTTATTAATTATGTATGTTGTGGAGAATGTAATCTTTCGGGTTCAATTTATGTCGAATATCTCCAAGGAAGTTGTAATCTTGGTTCAGTGGACTGCGAATACGAATGTCTAGTCAGCCGCACATATATTATATAGAAGCTGCTCGATTATTTTTAACTACAAAGCATCGTTTGAGGTGTAATAATTTTTGTAGATAAACTAAATATATTGTTTTTACTGTAGTGAAAAAAAAATGTAAAGTGTTTACGATACGTAAATCTTACGCTCTTTCTTGGTTTTCCTAAAAAAAATTATCACCAATGTGAACGAAACAGCTCTTTTTTTTTTCAATCATGATATTAACCAAGTTTATGTTATTTTTGTTTGGGAGCACGAAATATACGTTTGTTTTGATGTTTGAAACGAATAATATTGTAAAAGGGTACAATTGATTATTATGCAAGTGGAGAATAGGGTTCCCACTCAAATTGTGGTTATAACCTACTTTAAATTTTCTGTCATATTAATTAATTGTATAAATTATTCCAACATTGAATTAATTTATAAAAAAAAATAAGGAAGTTAATCCGACACGACTGATGAATCATTCCAACGGCATCTCGCCAACATCGAATTAATTCGCTAGGTTTTCATTAATGCTCCACTTTCTACTGCAAAATTTAAGATGCAATTCGTGAGGCTGGGGAGCAACGAAAGAAAAAGAAAAGCACTTATGCTCCAAATTTAAAATAAACAAAATTGTTTATATCCCATATTTTTCTTGTGAACAAAATCACTGGAATACTATAATTTTAAAAACCAACGAGATTCCACTTATATTATATATACATATATATATATATATATATATATATATATATATGTGAGATTTGCATGGAGAAGACAAACGTCTGAGCAGCTTGGTGACGAGCGGTGAAGATCCGTGGCCGAATGCCATGTAGCACACCGTGACCGACAATTTTCATATCCGGTTGAATTTCCTCCTCCTAGTTTCATGCTTTTCGTTTTACACCAATCCCGTATTTAGGCTTATAAATGTCGTCATTAAATGATGGTATTAATTTTTACGTAACTTGGTTTTCGTCTCCACACAAATTTTAATTACAACATTTCAATTGTTAATTCATCCATATCCCCTATCACCTAGATTCCTACACACAACCCAAATCATGTTATAAATACCTTTAACGCCTCATCTAAATATATAATTACTATGAAAAAAGTATGAAACGCTACTATTGCCAAGCTCTAATCACAAGAATAATTATAAACAAAACATTGCGATATTCGGATTATGCCTCTGTATTATCCGCAGAAAAGCTTATTACAAAGGACAGACTCAAAACCCAACAACGTAAAACAACGATTGACCCACTTATAGCGAAAAAGGAAAAAGGGAGATTACATATTTGGAAGACTTAATTAGAGCCCAAAGAGACAAATGTATATAAAAACAAATATACGGAGAAAAACTAAAGAGATAATAATTAGACATCAACTTTACATGTCGGAGGAGCAAGAAGAGGAGCTTGACCAGAGAAACCTCTCTTATATCTCAGCCACACGTCACACGTTACGTACAATCCGTACCCTCCAGTTTTTATACCGCCGGCCTTCCAACGTAGCCTGCCCTGAAGCACGACCCTCATCGAAACCACGCCGTACGACTCATCCATCCTCAGCCCGTTCGCCACCTCCGGCGCCACCGGCACTCCGTTTCCTCCCATCACCGGAGCTATCACCACCGTCGTCTTCTCCGGTAACCTCAGCGGCGGAAGCTCCACCGGCGGCGTTATCATCTGGTCCCTGTACGTCACGTACATCCTCAGCCTGTCATAGTGTGCGGTCACCCTCCTGTTCGGGTTTCGAGCCAAGACGCTGAACTGCACGGACGTCGAGATGACCGTCGCCGCCGTGAAATTCAGCTCGTATATGGCGGCTCC